CTTGTAATCACTTAAAATCTATCTTCTGTAGTTAACAAACTTGTTTTTGTTTTGTGTACAGCCAGTGTGTGGACATTATAACTTGGGGCAGAAAGCTGTTGCATATCTCCCTCCACATTGAGGGAGGGGGTGAATTTTATGAGCTTATGCTGTACAGTTCCCTGTGCAGTGCAAGACAGTATAACTTTGGGTTTACACTCTGGGGGGGTGCATGCCTTGGGAACGGGAAGGTGCCTTAGCTGAGCCTTCCCATGCAGAGCTGATCTCAGCATCTGTGTGCCGCTGCAGCTGGGTGTGTCCCTACCTGTGTGATTGAAAGAACAAGCTTGGAGAGCTTAGTAACTTGTCGCAGCAGCACAGGGTGAGAGAGAGCCCAGGCTGGTGGGTCAGGGGGGCTCAGTGGTACACCAGTTCCAGGTGGCACCCCAGGGGGAACCTGTCACACATGCATCATCTCCCAAGCCCAGATGAATACACCTCTCCCTGTAGATTGCCATCCTCAGTAGCTAAACACATTGACAGTTGCTGGTGACTGCCCCATGCTGATTCGACACCTCCAGGTGGCCTGCCCCCCCCCCCCCCCCCACACACACAGCCATCTGACTGGCGGGGAGAAATTAAAAAGCAACTCCAAATGTCTGCAGGTGGAAATGAACCTGGCTCTTGTCCTCCACAGGACAATATCCACTTCCACACTCCTCCTCCACCTGACTGCAAAGCACAAGGCCCTGTCTGTCGGGAAGCTGCGGTTCTTTCCAAGATACCCCCCAGTGAAACCCAATTGGGAACCATAGGTGCTGGAACTGGGGGTGCAGTAGCACCCCAGGCTAGAAGTGGTTTCCATCCAATGCAGGGTTCACAGTTCCATTCAATGGCTCTCAGCCCCCCATATACAAACTGTTCCAGCCCCCCTGCTGGCAGGAGGTGTGGCTGGGGATTCCAATCACGAGTGAGTGAATTCAGGGCCTCGGACAGTGAGGGGCTCCTAGTGCCGTACAGGGAGGCTCCGTGCAAACTTCCCAACTTCTCACTGATCCTGACCTGCAATCCCACCCAGCTACTCCCGTCCTGAGCCCCTCGCCCAGCTTGGCCAATGCACCTCAGTCCGGAGCTGCATCATCATCAATCCTGGAGCCTCTCTCCCACCACAGCCCTGCCAACACCCACAATCACCAACCCCCTCATTCCAACCCAGAGTCCCACAGAGCTCCACCAAGGCTCTTCTGTTCTGACTGTAACACCCCCTGCTCTGGGCTTCCCACAGCTCAGTCAATACAACAGCCTTCAAACCTGCTACACCCACAGCCGTTCCACTCTTGGGCCCCTCCTGTGTCCAGACTGGTGAGATACCCGGAGAGCGAAAGGGGAGCAAACAGCCACTGAGCCGGGCAGACAACACACAGGGAGCAGAAAAGCCACCCGCTACCACAGCCCGACACTCACAAGGCACAGCCAGCATTGCCCACACGTACTGACTCCGGCAGGCACGCAGAGAGCCCAGCAATGCTGCACCACCCACACAATGGCCACGCCAGCAGGCAGGCCCCCGGAATAATAGACTTTGCATTGCTCTTGCAGAGTCCAGGTGCACAAATCAAGGCCCCCTTGATAATCTTAATTAAGCCTCCCGACTTGCCTGGGTGTGGGGGAAGGTAGATATTGTCATCCAGATGGGGAAACTGAGCCACAGGAGTCACATGACCTGCCCAAGTTCATTGTGTGGCCGGGGCAGAGCTGGGATCAGAGGCCGGGAGTCCTCACTTCCAGACTCGAGCTTTCACCACAGTCACAGGCGAACCCAGACGCACACCCAGTGCACATGTGCAGCGCAGCCAGCGACGGGATAAACATCAACTCGCCCGGGGAGCGCTGGGAATCTGGACTGCTCGTGACAAACAGCGACGGACAGAGCCTGCCAGTGCCGAGTTGGCTCACGAGCCAACTAACCGTCCCACCACCCTCCCGACCGGCTCCTGGGGCGGGAGAGCAGATGGGAAACAAAACAAGACGCCGAGCAGCAACCAGGAGGCGTCCAAAGCAACCCTCCCCTCCAACAAACCCCTGTTCCCCTGCGCAGGCCCGGGGGGCTTTGTGTACTGACCTCTCAGCGCTGGGATGCAGATGTGGCCGGGGGCAGAGAACAGACAGGTCCGGTTCTGTGCAGCCAGCTGCCCTGCATGTCCTCCCTGGCTATTTTTACTCTACATATAACCCTGTCATCCGCACTGCATGCCGGGAGGGGGATTTCTCACAGCCTCTGAGCTGAGCCAGCAGAGAGACACCTGACTCCCGGGGATGTGATCTGCATAGCAATGATTTAGGGGCGAAGGGGGGAGTGTGCGGTGCAGACAAAGAGCCCAGTGAGCGCGAGAGCACAGAGGAGCTGGCTGGAGGCGCTGGAGTTACAGCAGGGAGAATGAGGCCAGGCTCAGCTCAGTTCTTGGGGCCCAGTCCTGCTCCCAGTGAAGTCAACAGGCAGGGCCAGAATTTGGCCCTCAATCCAGGGTGAGTCCCCTGAAGCCTGGTGGAGCTAATGCAGCTTTGCAGCGCTGTGACTGAGGTCAGAAGGGGGCCCAGCATGTTTGCACACACAAAGGAGGCTGGAGTGCCGTGGCCTGACCCCCCTTTCCAGCACTGTTCGGAGTGCAGGGGGAAGGTACCATAGCTCTGGGGCAAGGTTCTCTACCCATCCCCAGATCAGCTGTAGCATGGGCAACAGCAGGGCAAGCTTTCCCTACATGCAGCCCTGGAAATGTGCCCTGGAGGGACCCCCCCCCAGGGCTCAGGGGGGAGCTCAGTCTCCGCGTGCTGTCGGCCCTGGGGAGGTCAGGTTTTGTGATGTGGCGAGTGGGGCCTCACCCCCTGGGAACTGGCTGGAAATCCCCCCCTCCCCTCCCCAGGAAGGACCTTCCTGGGGGCAGACCAAACCGCTCCATGCTCAGTCTAGATAAGGGCGAGAGCTCATCAGTTCACCAAGGGTGGCATTTTTTGCAGGTGTGGCTAAAACACTCCAGCTACAACAGCCTCTTCCTTCCACCGGCCAGGCCCCCAGACAGGCACAGCACAGCTCCGGGCCATAAGGGGGTCTCCTTGTCAGACCCATCAGACCCATCTATCTGTCTCTCCCCATCGGATGGAAGGGGAAAGTAGCTCTTCCTGTCCCCTGCCCCCAGAACTGCACCCAAACGAGTGCTTTGGGGGAGTTAACCCCTGCACTGCTGGGCCCTGCTGCAGCACCAGGGCAAGCAACCCCCCAAAGGACTTGCCTGCTGCCTGGGGGCAGCAGAAATAGAAGGGGGGAGCCATCCAGTGTACCAGGCAGTGCAGCTGTTAAAATGCTGCTGTAGGATCTTCTTCATCTTACTCCCTTTCTCTTGTGTGTCCAGGTGGAAGAAGGAAGCAGGAGCGAATGGTTAGAGCATAAGGAGCCAGGCCACTGGACTTTCATTCCCAGCTCTGCCACTGCATTGCTGTGTGGCCTTGGGCAAGTCACTTCCCCTCAGTTTCCGCCCTGGGGAGAGTAGTTTGGGGAGTTGCGAGGCTCAAGTCCCTAGTGCATATAGAGTACTATGAGAAAGGCCACTCAGCACCTTGAGTTATTGCTCCTGGATTATTCACTGTTTATTTACTTCAGTTGTGTGTGTTCACCTACTCTGAATGCCAAGAAGTGATGCCAAGTAGTAACAGAGTAACAGTTACTGATCTGGTGCATTAATACAGCCCCGGGCCTCGGAGGCGTCAGAACGGCCGGGCGCCAGCTCTGGGCCCCATTGTGCTAGGTGCTGTACAGACATGTGGCAAGAGACAGTCCCTGCCTCTAGGAGCTTGCAATCCTGTGTGAGGCCTGAAGGAACCACCCCGGTGGGCGGGAAGCAGAGGGGAGTGGGGTTTATAATTCCAGCCTGGTCTTTCAAGCAATGACAGCGTTTGGATGCTGAGCCATTAGAAACCATTTCTTCTGGGCAGGCTCCACAGTGGACGCTGCGCAACTGAGGGCGAGCACATCCCCCAGCGGCCCCAAGACAAGGGCCATGTGGAATTCATTCCCCTGCCCCAACTAAGCCAGCCCAGCCTGACGACGCTGCACCTCTGTCTCCCAGACAATCCAGGGATGGCTCAGGCCAGCTGCTCTGCCTCCCGCCTGACACACCCACCCACCCACACCCATCCTTGCTGGGGGCAACGTGTGTGGCCCCTGACACTCAGCCGGGGCTTGCAGTCAACACAGCAGCAGGAGAAAGCAGGGCCCAGAGCAGAGGAGCCTGTCAGCCGCCCGGCTCAGCACAGCCAATGGCGTGTGAGGGATCGGCTAGCTCCCCTGTGCACACACAGAGCCTAAAGTGGTCTGAAAAAAGTGGGGGGGGTCTCACAACCGGGGAGCCGCAGCTGTGGTAAGACAGGGTTTAAAGTGCAGAACCTCAGCAACCCCGCTCGATGTTAAATGTTCCCTTTGTCGAACTGCAACCCCTTCTGAGCTCCCCAACCCCACATGCACTTGGAGCATTGGCCACGTACCTGCAACTGCTTACTCGCCCCACAGCTCTCCCATTAGCCCGTCTCCTCTCGCTCACGCAGCATCACACACACAGACACACATCAGGCTCCCGCCCCTTCCATCCCCCCACCCAGGAGTCGCTTAGAATTATCGGCCCATCCCTCTGGGGCTCACCATCCAGCGCTGCTTCTCTTCCCGTGGGATCCCCTTCCCCATTCTCTATCCCCCTCCTCTCCCTGCCCCACTCTCTCCTCACCGCCCACCCTGCATTCTCTGTTCCCTGCTCTGGGCTGCGGCTGTTCCTGACCTCAGCCCACTCGCTGCTGATGGCTCCAGCATGTGGACTCTGCTGTGTGTTTCCACAGGCCCACGGGAGCGTCCCTGGTTCCTGTTTTTCATCCTTCAGGAGGAAGTTTTGTAAATTTCCAATCCCGGTCCTGGAAATTCCAATGGCATCTCACTTAGGCTCCTAGCTGGAGCTTGGGGAGCGTCCCTGCGGCCTTACCTGCCCTTCCTCATCTTCCTCCTGAGGCTGTTCTCTGTCTGCACCATAAGGCGAGTCTAACAGAGCCAACTGCGGGGACCCTAAGCCAGAGAGATAAACAGTCACCAGGAAGCCATGTCAAACACCCCGAGGGCTTGTGGGGGGGAGGGTTGACAGGTCTCTGACCTGCCCTTCAAACACAGGGGGAGTGCTGGCAATGGGACGGGTTTGGAGTTTTCTCAGATCAGCATCCGTAAGTGTAGTTGTCTGTCAGAGCCATAACTAACCCTCTGTATCTTAGGAGACCCCCATCCCACCCCTGGCTCCTTCCAGGCATTTCCGTGTTCCTCTCAGGGTTATCGGCGCCAGCTGTGCCGATCTGTTCCAGGATCAGTTTGCCGCTGCGGGAGCCCAGGTACGGCACCCTCTTAGGCTTGGTTTGCAAGAGGCGACACTGCACGGTGAGGGGGAGTTAAAGGGCTGATCAGTAGGGCCCTGCAGAGCCACAGTGGCTGCCTGCAGCAGATATTAAAGGGAGTGGGTGGGGATGAGCTCAGTGTCGCAGCGAGATTAGTCCAGGGTCGGTGCATGGTGGGTGTGTGCAGGCACATGGGCACCAGCAGCAAGCTAGAGCAGTGGGATTGATGGTAGATGAGTCCGAGAGGAGCTGGAAGCCCCTGTAGGGTAGATGTGGGGAGCCAGGGACCTGCCGGGAGGGGGGGGGGGTGCCACATTAATGGATCCTTTCCAAACTGTCCAGGAGGAGGCAGAGATGCACAGACCATGTACTGCAGACAGCATGGCCCCGTGGGCAGGACTCCGGCCTGGGTGTCAAGAGCTCTGAGGTCTATTCTTGACTGCCATTGGCTTGCCATGTGACCTTGGGCAAGTCACATGATGCCTCCGTGCCGCAGTTTCCCTATTGAGGTAGTATGGCTTACCCCATGTTATAAGGCGCTGTGCACTTGGCGGTAGTGTCTCCCTGGTAGCTACAGGAAGTAAGGTCAGCTCCCTGGGCCGTGCACAAGTCAGCGGTCAAGTCTCCCACCCACCTCTCTCATGGTGCCACTGGGCGAACCCCCAGACAAATCAGCAGGACTGCAGAGCACCGGCAAGGCTGGGAGACAGGTGGGGCAGGAGCGCACCGCTTTGTGGGGCTCACGCAATCCAAGGGCTGGAGCTGCCTCCAAGTCGCAGGGACTCCCACGAAGTGAACAAAGACTCCGGAGTGCGTCACTGCCTGAGCACCTCCATCGCCTCCCCCATTAGCTATGCCCCGGCTCTCGCAGAGGCAGGAGGGGATGGGAGCCCCCAGAATTACCTCCGATTCCGAAAGCCAGCCATAAGGGGCTAGCCCTGTGCAGAGCGGGCCGGGGGGTCCCATCTGGACGTGGAATTACAACTCCCAGGGCTCTGCGTTCCCGTGGGCAGCCCAGTTCCCTTGGCCAGTCACCCTGACTGCACCTAAGGGGCTCCGCTCTCACCTGCTGCATCGATGCCACGTGGGAAGAGCCGCTCCTGAACCATAGAGCTGATGTCACCAAATACGTCGTCCTCCTCTCTGTCTGCGTCAAACTGAAAGAGGAAAGACAGACAGAGACGGCCGTCAGTCGGGTTCTGGGGGTGGGGGCGGGGTGTGGTGGGGGAAAGGAAACTGGGAACCCCACTCCACTCTGGGGTTCACGACTCCCCCACAGTGAATCCCACCTGCATCTCAGACGAGCGAGACCTCAGGGCCACAGTGCACATTAGGCAGGTCGGTGCACCTGTGAGCATGCCCCATGCTTACCCTTTGTGATGAGTACAAGAGACCTGGACCCAGTATGTGTCAAGACCCTCAATCAAGCTGGTAACCAAGACGTCAAGACCCAAGGCTTGGATCTGTGCAAGACCTGGTGTCTGGGACTGCTGACTAGACCAGCTTCAGTGGGAAAGGCAGTGTCCCAACCCAGGTGTGGGCTGCCCCGACGGAGCCTTACCCGGACGATGACGCTCTTGTCCTGGTAATATTTCACAATCAGCGGGATGTTCTGCTTGAAGGTCTCCACCCTCCGGTCAATGGCGTGGGCGTTATCGTCCGGCCGGCCCTGCTCCTGCGCCCGTTTCTCCAGACGCTGCCGGAGACGTTGGTTGGAGCAGGCCAAGAAAACCACCAGGTCTGGGGAGCCTATCTGCCAGTGAGAGAGACGAGCACCCGATGGCAATTCAGCGGTGATCCCTTCCCTATGGGGGGCTCTGGGGAGTCCTTGATGGACCCGACAGGGCTCTGAGGATTTCAGGGCTCCTTGGGATCGAGACCCCATCACCAAAGGGCTCTAATGGCTCCCAGCCCCTCCGCATCAACACCCCCCATTCCGCAGAGGAGCTGCACGTCTCCAATGAGTCCTGCCATCCCACAGAGGGGTCTGGAGAGCCCCGGGGCATCCCCGAATCAGCCTGTCCCTGTCCCTCAGCGGCTAGAAGGGTCCAGGCATTCCCAGGACCCTCAGGGCTGAACTGAGTTGATCATGATCATATCTGGGACCCTGAGCACATGACTCCTCCCTCTGTGGCGCTGGCCGGGCTCTCACCGTCCTCCGGCACTGCAGGAACAACGGCAGGTGCCTGACGTGTCCTCGGAGAGGAGGGGCACTACCATGGCAGCTCCAAAGTGCAGGCTGACACCCGGTGCAGAGGGTCCAGTGGGACCAAAGGTGTGTGTCTTAGGAGAGGAGGGGAAAACTGAGACATGCACCTGCCCTTGGCCAGCAAAGGGTCACCGAGAGCAACGGTCTTTGTCCTCTGTGTAGTTGGGTTATGCCAGGCCGTGCCCTGTATCCTCAGAAAGCAGAGCCTGGAGCAGGGGCATACGCCCTTAGGGGGGAAGGAGGGGGCAGAATGGAGGGGCTCCGCCAACATCCAATAACCAGAAAAAGGGACAGGACAAAGCAGCACATCCAAGGAGGATAGCGCCAGGTGAGGGGATGCTCTTCAGAGAGGCCCGGGGCAGCCAGAAGAGGGGCACACACCGTCAGAGCGGGCCCCAGGGAGCCGGTGCCTGGTGAGGGCGCAGGGAAAGGGGCAGCCCAGGACGGACAGGAAAGCCTTGTAAAGCCCCTTTGTTTATCCACAGCTGCACCTCACCTGCTCCTCGAAGGTGAAGGCCTGTCCTATCTCCCGCGGGAACCCGTCCACCACGAAGCCGTTGGCGTCTTGCTGCTTAATGAACTGCTGCTTCAGCTCCTCAATGGTAGTTTCCTGCAAGGCAAAGAGACCTCTCAAGGGGCTGGTAATGGGGGATGGAGACCGAGCCTCTCACCTACAGGCCACTGGGCTGAACCCAGCCCGGCTCAGAAGGGACCAAAAAGTCATTCCCAGCTGGCGGTTGCCGGGTGGCCCCTGAGTGCAGAAGGCAGGGAGTCTCTTGCGGGCTGCCTGGATGCCCCCTCGGGCTGCGCTGAAGAGGTGATAGGAAGCTCTGGCCATGACTCACTGGCGGGGCCAGTTCCCCGTTGGCGATGATCTTGGCGATCAGCTCCCACTTCCCATCGCTGGTGGCGTGGTGGATCAACTGGTTGCGCAGGATCTCACCGACCGAGATGCAGACGAAGCCGAAGTGGGAGGCCATCTTGGTGCTCTGAGTGCCCTTCCCGCTGCCAGGGCCCCCTGCCAAGCAAGAGAGGGTCAAGGAGGCATCCGTGCCTGAGCACCCCCAAGCCTTGGCCAACAGGCGCTTTCCTTGCCCGGCCAAGGTTTTCCCCAAGGGGTACGTGCGTGCAAGTAAGTTACCTACTAGCAGCTCTGGAAAAGCTCAAGTGGTAATGGCCGTGTTCTTTGAGCAAGAGAACATGGGTTCTGCTCCTGGTTCCCCAGATACTCATGGATTTATCAAGCCCCTGTGTCTGTTGTCTGCAGCATGCGCATTCAACACAGGTGCCAGGGTCGAGTCCCCTGGATGGGATTAGCCAGCTTTGGGCTTCTTCACTGAACTGATGACGGAGCCTCTGATAAGGCAGCTGAGTTCCTGCCATTGAATACAAAGGCCTGGTTCTTCTCTCACCTACACCGGTGTAAATCAGGAGGAAACCCGTGGAGTTTCACTGATGTAAGTGTGGGAGAAGTTGGCTGCAGGCATTAAAGGGGTAGGAGGCCATTTCCCCCAAAATAGCTACGCTAGCAACAACGTATGTAATTGAGACAACAACCAAATGCCCTCCAAACTCATCAGGAATGGTGGGGAAATAGAAGAGGAAGCAGCTGTCCTTAGGGGAATAATGATCCTTCTCCAGCGCCTCCCATTCCAGGATCTCAAAGTGCTTAACACATATTTATGAATTAACCCTTTCCAGCCCCCAGCAAAGCAGTGCAGCATTATGCCCATTTTACAGATGTGGAAACTGAGGCTTGCAAATTGTCCTCTTCCTTAATATGTGGCTGTCTAATAGGGAAACCCACTGGAGATTACAGGACGCTTCTTCATTTGTCTCCCATCTCTATCTCCCCGTCCTTCCTCTGCCTCTCTTCTCCCCTCCCTCTCCCTCTCCCATGCTCAGTTATTCCTCCGCCTCTCCCCAGAGGGATTACCCAAGCTGCATGGCTCATCCCACAGCTGTAGGTAAGCAAGTTTCTCACCAATCACAAAGATGATTTTGGGACGGGGTCTACTGGGGTCGAAGACATCATACTCCTGGATCAGTCCAGTGGACTCTGTCATGTCCGAGTCACTCTCGATGGAGAACTGGCTCTGGATGGGTGGCAGGCACCCATACCGGCGATATGGCCCTGCAAGAGGGTCTGCAAGAGAAACCAGGGGCAATGCATCAGCTGCAGTGGGACTGCACATGGTCCACTCAGGTGGCTGCAGTGCTGATACACTGAGGAGCTGACCTGAGTGGCACATAGGGATATAGATTTAAGCAGCATGGTAAGGGGGCCGGGGCTGGGAGGAGGGGCTGGATAAGGGGCAGGGAGCGGTTGGAGGGGGCAGAGATTCTGGGGGATGGTCAGGGGACGGGGAACGGGGGTGGTTGGGTAGGCATGGGAGTTCCAGGGTGGTGGTGGATGGGGTCAGGGCAGTCAGGGGACAGGGAGCGGGGCGAGTTGGGTAGGGGGTAGGGTCCTGGGGGGCAGTTAGGGTGGGGGGGGTCTCAGGAGGGGGTGGTCAGGGGACAAGGAGCGGGGGAGTTGATGGGTTGCAGGTTCTGAGGGGGGCAGTCAGGGGCAGTAAGTGGGTTGGGGTCGGATGGGGGGGAAGAGACAGGCACGTGGGGCTTATACTCACCGCGCGGTTCCCAACCGGGTCTTCGGTGGCACTTCAGCGGCGGGGGGTGGTGGTGTCTTCACTCGCTCCAGGTGAAGGACCCGCCGCCGAAAACCCGGAGTGAGTGAAGACCCCCCACACACACACTGCCGAAGTGCCACCGAGGACCCGGTAGGGAACCGGTTATTAGGATTTTGGGAGCTCATCACTGCAGGTGTGCATGCAGGTGGGCAACAGGTGTGTGCCTGGGCATGTGCAGGTGCACACAAGTCTGTGCCAACCTGTGGGCAGATATGCTCACGCATGTGCACTGGGATCTGTGAGCATTTGCACCTGCATGGTCTTTGTGTTGTTTGCACATACTCAGGCCCCCGAGAAAGTTTGCCCACGAGCAGTCCTGCCCCTGATCCCCCCAACTCTGAACAGATGCCAGTTCAAGGTGCAGCTCACCTGTCCAGAAAATGGGTTTCTTCCCTTGCCCGCCATTGATGGGGGGTAGGGTCCGCCGCTCCTGGCCAATGAAAGTGTCCCATTGCACCTTCTCAGGACCACCCAGCTCCCGAACCTTCTGCAAGCAGCGCTCCAGGTAGTCGATGGGGTCCTCAGGGCAGTAATACATCAAGCCTGTTAACATGCTCTGGGAAGGAAGCAGACACAGGTCAGACAAGGCAGGGTGAGAGACAGCAGGGAAAAGAGAGGGAGAATTGGGTGGCGAAATTCTGCAGAGCAGGTGGGTCGGTGATGAAATCTGTGGAGTGCTGGAATCATCTCTGCCTGTTCCTGCTGGGTGGCTGCATGGCTCTGGTGTACTAGAAGGAGGGATGGAGATGAGGGAGGCGCTTGTCCCTCCAGGAGCCTAGCAGGACACCATATAGCCCAAGTCCTGGCGTGTGTTTATGCTCAGAGACTCACGCTTTCATTACACTGGTGGGTGCCTTGGTTTTACTGTGCTTGACGGCTGCATATTTTGCAGTCCAAGGAGATAGTGAGCAAGGCCTGGCTATTCTCAGGTGTGAGGGGGCACCTTCCTCTGAAACCTTTGCTACTGATGGCTGCAAATACCTGACACTGGGCTGGCTGGACCATAGGGCTGATCCAGCCTGGCAGTTCCTAGAAGAAGGAAAAGCGACCCAGGGACGTCCGTCACAGCAGCACTCAGCCAAAACACAAATGCACCCATCGGCAGGAAGAAAAAGGAAGCCGCAGAAGGGCTCTAAACCAAGCTGATCTCTACAGAGATTCCACGGGGCTATGAGCAGACTCCTCCCAGCTTCCTTTAGGGACTCAAGGCAGGAGAAGGGCTCTCTGGGGCATGGCATGGCAGTGGCAGCCTGCAGATTTCTCATGAACTCTGCAAAAACCTGGCTAATGTGGGTGCTGGACAGAAAAGGGGGACAAGAGAATGGCAGAGAGGTGGACAAGCACACACCCAGTGGCCAACGTTGGTACTGCAGGGCAGGGGGATTACTGTATCTGGGGAGCCCTCCAGAGAAGGAAAGCACTGGAAAGGGGTCCCAAAAGAAACTCCACCCCCAGGGGTTTTAGCAGCACAATGTAGGAGACATGGGAGAGGTTTGCTGGGGGCAGGAAGGACCTTTGAGGATCTGGGTCAAAACCACTCGTGTAACCTATATCCCAATCCACACCTGATTTACCTCCTCTGTCCGTACCACGCCGCAGTTCAGGGAAAGACCCGCACCAAGACACAGCCGCCTTTCCCCAGGGAGCTCCAGCACAGAGCTAGGATTAAACCACCTCCCTACATAGCAAGGCAGGGAGTCCACTGCTTTGAACAGGGCGATGGGAGTGAAGAGACCTGGGGTTTGTGTCTGGCTCTGCCACTGACTCACTGTTGACCTTGGATAAATCACTTCACCTCTCCAGGCCTGTTTCCATCTTTGTCACACGGAGCTAATGAACCTGGCCCACCCTGAGGAAAGGTGCAATTACAGCGCAGCATCCAGCCCCCTCTCTCCAGCAACGTTATACCACGTTCTTTCTGCTTGCCGGCAGCCAGCACTGTGTAGCCTCCGCTATTACAGCATCTGCTCTAGCGAACCACGGTCGTGCTGGGCCCACTACACTGAGACATGACTCGCCTGCGATATTCTCTGGGCTAGCGCACAGCTTCCGAGCACTGAGACGTGACCTAGCACAGAACAGCACCTGGGAACCAGCCCAGAGACACAGCTCCAGCACATTGGCTGTGGGTCAGATTCTGCAGCTCACACCAGGGAAGGAACTCAGGAGAGCGGTGGAATAAGGGCCTACTTGGCGTGAGTGACGGGGGTGGAATCCAGCCCTATCTTATCAGTGCTTAGCAGAGCAGATATCCTTAAAGCACTTTGCAAATATTCACTAACGAATCCTCTTATCCGCCTGCTGAGGCAGGTACCTACAGAGGAGAGAAGTGAAGCATAGAGAAGTGACATGACTTGCCTAAGGAGGCAAAGGGCCAATAGAAGAGGTAGGAAAGAGAACCCAGGTGTCCTGATTCCCCTGCTCCAACCCCTCAGCTCACCTGTGTCTCTCTCAGTGTGTGGTATCCAGGGGTGCTAGGCCTGCAACACCACTGCATGACGTTCCCGGGGAAAATCAAGGAGCAATAATGAGAGACAAGTGCAGTCTCTGAGCCACATGACCACAGGGTCGCCTACAGCCCTGTGGCCCTCGGACTATCGTGCAGGTGGGAAGATCGCCTTCTTTGATTCCCACTGGCGCTGGTGCTGCGGGCAATGCTGCTCGCTTGTTATATTAATGAACCACAGCTCGCTCATTTCCACGTCAGTGTTTGCTAACAGCCATGATGAGAAGCTGCAAGCGCCTCCAACCACTCGAAGCAGCTAGGAACAAAATGGGGGGGGGAGCACGGACGCTCCAGCCCAGCCACGGGAGCACACAGCCTGTGTTGGGGGGAGAGGGGTGCACCTGGCAGGATCAAAGGCAACTGCAGGGGATATGAGTGCCACAGCTCCTTTCAAAGCGGATCCTTCAAAGCGCCGTTGCGTGAGAGAGCATAGGCCTGGGAGCGGTGAGTGCTCCAAGCCAGGACACAGAGGTTTGCAGGTTGCTATGGGCCCCGTCCGGAAGAGTCTTCTGCCATTGGAGAATAATAAATCCCTAGCTCTTGTCATCAGGCGAACGCCAAGCGCTCGGCAAAGATCTGAGAGTTGCAGATGTTAGGGCCAGAAGAGATTATTAATCACCCAGTCTGTCTGCCCTCCTGTAGGACACAGGCCAGAGAATCTCAGCCCGTTACCCCTCTACTGTGCCCAATAACTAAAGCACATCTTCTGGGAAGGTGTCCAGTCTTGTCCTGAAAACCTCACCAGACGGAGAATCCACCACTGCCCTGGAAGGTTGTTCCTATGATTAATCACCCTCACTGTTAAACAAAATGGCGCCTTATTTCTACTCTGGATTTGTCTGGCTTCAGCCTCCAGCCACTGGTTCTCACCATACCTGTGCATTCAAGGGCCAGTTAGGGATTTTTTCCCCACAGAAGTCCCTATACGCAGGGAGCCAGGCTCGGAGAGAGGAAGGGACTCGCTCAAGGCCATAGAGAGCATCAATGATAGAACCGGGAAGGGCACTCGGGGGCTCCCCCCTCATCACTTCACACCCGTGCACCGAGAGCCCTGCTGGGGGTGGGGGTGGTGCTGCACTCGGACAAGGCTTGGACTGAACATTATTCTACAGGGCCACTCTTGCTGAGCCCCTCCTCCCACGTGCCTTTTCATGCCCTTCCCCAAGTCCCTCCTGACTCTCTTCCCCACATCTTGGAGGATGAATTTCTAGAGCTGGGCGAGGATTGGGGGCAGGAAGAGGCAGCGAGACGCCAAAGCGACGGGTGCTGTTTATGAACCCTGAGAGAATGACGAATCAGCCATTCTGCCCTGACGTGCCAAGGTGCCTGCAGGATCGGGGCCGCCGAGCAGCTCGCAGGGTCCTGGCAAGTTGCTGAGGCAGCCCTTAGAATGAACCCTTCAGTGACCCAGGTACCAAGCTCTGGATGCAATTTTGAATGGGCAATCAAATAAACAATGACCTCACACCGCCTGTAACTTCCCCCTGAAAAGCAAACAGTCACGCCCATCAGGGAGGGGACCGGACTGGGGCTCTCCATTCACAAGCCTGGATCACACTCTATCCCATACTGGAAGCAGCTGGACTCTTTCTAAGAGGAAACACTCCAGCAAGCCACGTGCTGAAAGCCAGAGTGCCGGTGTCACCAGCGTGGCTGAACCACGCGCTGGTTTTGGAACCCGGGAGCCCTGCAGTGGAGGGTGGTAGGAGACCACAGGGTTTTCTTCCAGCCTGTTGTCCCAGTAACAACGTTAGCGCTTTCCATACACTGTCAGTCCACCCAGCGCTCGGGCAAGGGAGAGCAGTCTCGTGCATTATGCCCACATGGCAAATGGACAGACTGTGGTGCACACACACCAAATCCAGGCTGCCCAAAAACATTGCCAGAGGACAGACAGATACAGACACATAAACGCATCGCATCATTAATATCGATATTTTTGAATTCCTGGAATGCTCTGGGCCGTTGAGAACTAACCAGCACGCAGCAGGCAAGTCATCCTAATGCTGCAAGGATTGGTGGCACTCAGGGTCCACAAAGCAGAAACGCCTCTGTTCGCCTCCCTGCGCTGGGGCCACTCAGGTTCTCTTATCTACAACGGTGACATTTACACCGGTACAGTGGGTCCACGTGAAGCTTCAGGTTAAGGGTGTAAGTGCTGGAGGGGCTTTGAATGTCACCCTTCCTTAGGAACAATCTACAGCTTTCTGCAGTGGGGAACGCCAATCCTCATGCTTCAAGGCATAAGGTGATCACCAGCTGGGGTCAGGATGAAATTCTTCTTCCTGGTGCAGAACTGATCAGGTGCATAATAGACAGGGACTATAGAAACCAAAGGGAGATTTGGGCCAGATCTCTGGGGCTTTATGTTCTCATGTTGTTTCTGCCTCTGCTCAGCTCTGTGTTTTAAAGCCAGCTGTTACTCAAAAACCAAAGGAAAGCCCCTCTGAAAACACTAGTAAGGTTATTAGCTCCTGCTGCAGCCCATTGTATAGCTGCTCCATAATATTCCTCCCGCTGCCATGGTAGGAGCCCAAAAGTATGGAGCTAATTTCGCGGCACATGCCACCCTCGGCCTTATTTGTAAGGACAGTGGTGAGTGTCTCAGTTAATTCAATAATCGAGACTGTCTGATGCTGGCCTTGTTGCTATGCTGTTAGTGCTTCGTATACATCGGGCCAAACTCTCGACTCCATTACACCAGCGTAAATCAGGAGTCCATTGAAATCAGTAAAGTTGCTCTGCATTTAGGCTGTAGCTCGTGAATGGTTCTTCTGCTCTTCCCCCCGCCCTCCGCCCCCCTCCAGCACGGCCTTGTCAATCTGTCAAACCAAGATATGCAGTCACACTTCATGGGGGGGTTTTTGGGGGGGGAAGGAAGCCCCCCCAAATCAAACAGCTGAGAGATCACTCAAGCAGCTGCCCCTTTAAAATGTACCACAGTTTTGAATTCTATACCGGATGCTCCTGCTGGTGAATGGGACGCTGGATCAGTACATCAGCTAGCTGCTTGTGGAAAAATACCCAGATGCTGAACGGGTAACAATGCCATCCCTGAGAGTAACCCCACAAAACCCCACGAAGACGAACGGGGTCAGTTCAGCTCTGGGTTCTGAGTCTCCGCTCACCTACCCTGGGTTAGATCCAGGGAGAGACACTGGGGCAAGCAAGAGGAGAATCAGGCCCATTCTCTCAATCCACACACTGCATTGCCTGGATTCGAAGGGCGAGGAAGCAGGCACCTCTTGGTAATTCTGCCTAGAGTGAAAGCCTGAATGATGCCAAGAAGGTTGGGGAGGCCAGAAAGCCATCGGGAGAGCCCACATCCTCAGCACGGGTGGGAAATCCACACATGCAGATTTATTGCATCTCTAATCGGGACAGGACAGCGCTGGAGGCGGCAGGTTTCCGGATCAGAGAGGGCTTGGCCATTCCTATCTTCCTTTGAACCTGTCTCTTCTGAGCCTCACCAACTGCTGGATGTGCCTGGGCAAAACATACTGCCCATTGAACCAGATATAGCCAAAGACTCCGTTCAGAGGTAGGGTGGGGAAGGGGACGTGGGGAAAGGAAGCAGAGGGAGGGGTAAAGCAGGTGAGGGCACAAAAGAAGGTGGGTTATTCAAGAGCAGGAGGATTCAGGGTGAAGGGGCACCTACAGAGAGGGAGGGGGAGGGTCTACAGGCAAGAGTGGGGATTGGGATGAAGGTAAATGAGAAGGGAGTAACTGAACAAATCATACAGGGGAAGGAGGTAAAACGGGAGACAGGGGAGAGGGGACAGGGTGAGAGCGAACGGAAGGAGTCCAGGGATACGAGGGGAGAGCGGACTAGGGGTGCTGGTGGAGGGCATGGTATATGAGGGGAGGGGAGTACTATAAAGGTGCTGGAGGCCGTGAGGTATGAGGGGAGGTGAAGGGGAGGGATGTAGAGGGAGGGTGGCTGGGGAAAGGTGGTGTGAGGGGGGAATGTGGAGGGAGGGTGGCAGAGGACGGGGCTTTGAGGGGAGGTGGAGGGGAGGGATGTAGAGGGAAGGTGGCAGAGGACGCAGGTGTGAGGGGAGGTGAAGGGGTGAGTGGCAGAGGACGGGGCTTTGAGGGGAGGTGGAGGGGAGGGATGTAGAAGGAGAGTGGCAGGGGGTATGAGGGAAGGTGGAGGGGAGGGAAAG